CCTAAAGAGGAAAGCAATCAAGGTGTTCTCCCAGACATGTTCTGCTACTGGCTGTGAGCACAACTGGAGTACGTTCCAATGGTTGCACACTACTAGGAGAAATCGACTCGCTTTGGAGAAGCTTCATAAACTAGTCTACGTTTATTACAACTTAAACCTCCGAGAGCGACAAATAAGAATGAAGCTTTAAGACTATGGGCCGATAGACTTAAACACAATATTTGTCACAGACACAACATACCAATGGGTAGTAGAAGAGGAGGAGTGAATGTTGCACAAGATAGCGTTCCTTGAGGCTATCGGTGAGGAAGATCTTGAAGAACGTGATGAGCAGCATGAAAGAGGAAGCAGTCAGCCAACATATCCACAATTCGTTGGAGATGTTAGTGTTATTACACCTAATGAGGGAGAGTGGGAAGGGGGTCTAAGGGAAAATGAGAGAGATGATGATTCCGAGGCCACCCTATCCCAGCCATATTATTCACATATCGAGTCCCAACAGCAACAGGGTAGGGATGAGCACGGCAGTGTAGGTGAGCATGAAGAACGGACAAGCTTCGGGGATTTTGGATTAGGAACACAACAAAACACTAACACTCAGGGATTGAGATATAGTCAGACGCCTGCTAATATCGATGATTCATTTTTAGATCGAATCAATGAATTGTCAAACGAATTCAATCAATGGCACCAGCGTGACCAAGAAGAAGAACGACGTCGTCTGTCATTTTATTTTTAGATCATATGTTACTAATTGTATGCTTTATTGTGGTCCATGTATGTTGATATACTTATACCATGATAATTCTATGTTTATCCTTTTGTGTGACGTAAATTAAATGGTAAATAATAGTTCATGCAATGAAAGAACATATCAATATTCGCATATTCATGTAAATAAATGAAAATTCTTAATGGAGTACCCTCATTTTTTATTGAATTCCTAAAAAACAATATTTATAATGAGATTTAATAATTTATTCGGATTTTTTGAAGCTTTAATCTGACTAATTCACCCAATTCTTGATCCAGATCGTCGATTTGCCGATCCAGATCGGTTTTTGAGGTGCCCGATCTGGGCCACAGATCCACTTTTTAAACCATTGGTTGTACCGGTCTATATTCAGGTTGGCCTAATCCAATACATTTTGTGTCTGACTTACACAACTTGAATATAAAGCCGGATTGGTACCAAAACTATGTTGGACCAGCTCTATATCAAGTTATGTTAGTCCGACACATTTTGTATCGTGCTGGCTTAGAGAGAGAAAGTGAAAAAATATTGCCTAAAAGAACTTATTTTTGTCCAAAATAACCATACTTTTATTCTTTAGAGGTGGTTGCGAACATAAAAAGTTTTGGGGTTAAATGTGTAATTTACAAAGTAATGGGTTGGCATTCCTAAAAAGCAGCATCAAGGCAGGTATCTATAATGGGAAATGTTTCTATGTGTCCCCAACAACATATAAGTTATATGTGATCTCACTTCTTAGCCGTTCGATCTGAATCAGATGGCTACAATTGTTCATACCACAATGGCACGTCAAACACTATTTTATTTTTTATTTTTTTCTACAAAATATTTTTTGATGAAATTTTGTGTGTCCCATTAAAAAAATTAGGGCAAACGTGGAAAAAAAATATTTTATGTAAAAATAAATGGCCAAAAGGAAAATTTCCAAGGGTATTCTAGTAATTTTTTATCATAAAAAATATTTTTTTAATATTTTTATCATGTGTGCCCTTGTTAGATATATGCATGTCTCAATTTTTCTTCAAAATTATTTGTAGAATAAAAATAAAAAATAAAACCTATAAGCCGTCTGATCAAGAGCTGACGGTTAAGTGCTAACTTGTGACCCTTTGACTCAAGCCATCTCAACCATCTACTCATATGTGATGATTGAGATTAGGGGTCACATACACCCCATATATGGGCGGAGTCCCAAAAAAAGCCCTCCCATCTATAATTGTCTTAAAAATAAATAATTTTTTTTAAAAAAAAATAATTTCATAAAGAAGATATGTGGACCATTAGTTTTAACGTTTTTTAGAGGGACCACACATGTGTATCTATCTTTCAGAGGGATGTTTTATCCTTGGAGGACGTAAATGTAGAAATACATTCCCTCACACATACAACAATTCTCCTTTATTAGAAAAAAGGACACGATTTTTACTACAGAAATACGGGCTTGCCAATAAATATATTTTTAAAATATAATTTGATCTTAATTTTTAAAAAATATATAATTTTAACATGAAAATCATGAATATGAAAAAAAAAACAATTTGAAAACTAGAAATAATATTTATATTAAAAAAAACATTTGGACCGATAGTTATACTTGTTTTTAGAAAGACTACCTATTTGCATCCATCATTAAGATTGATGCTTTATACCATTGGACCGCATATTGTAGAAATACAGTTTAGCCCACATAAAATAATTTTCCTTAAAAAAAAAGAAAAAAAAAAGTTGTTTAGCAGCTCCAAGAAGTCGACCGAGTGAGTACCAAATCTTCTCAATCTAAATCCGCAATTTTGAATGGAAAAATATCATTAACGTGTTTAATTATCCTACAATATCACTACAGTATTTAAAAAATCTCATTTGCATGTCTTTCATGGCTATTTTCCCTCCCCCGAGCAACAAGGGATACTTTCATATTTTAAATTTAGCCACTTAAGTGAGTCAAAATTATCCAAATACCCTTAGAATGCTTAAACTCTCCTTCATTAATAAGAGTAATTTGAATCTTTGGAGCCGTATGATAATTTTGTAAAAGATGGGATTTCTATGAGTCCGCCCATTTATATTGTGTATATACAAGCCCGTACTTAAATATATCTTAAAAATGGATTTTTAATCTAAAATTTTAGAGATTCATGATTTAAGTTAAAATGATTATTAATATAAAAAATAAATATCTTAAAAATGGATTTTTAATCTAAAATTTTAAAGATTCATGATTTAAGTTAAAATGATTATTAATATAAAAAATGAATAAAACTTTTAATATTTAAAGTGTAAATTTTTTTACTCAAAATATCTAAAGTCATTTCAGCCCTATGAGTAGGTTCTTGCACCTGCTGACTCATTAATAACTTTTCCATTCCTAAATTTTAAGATAACATTTTTTTGCTGCATATGGGCCAGGTATCCGCCCCCACCCTATTTAGTTGGACGGTGCAGATTGCACCCTGTCATTATATCCGGGAGCAAGCTCGGCGTGGGTAGCATGCGAACGAGGGGCCGCATGCAGGCCCGCCCCTGCACGAAACGTCTTTTGCATAAAAGCTACGTTTCTGGTGCATTATTTGCCCCGTCAATTTTGATTAGTTTATGGTTTTATTCGGTAATCGCAGTAGCTTGAAGTCGTGGTCTGCTACAGCTCCAGATCTCTGTATTGATTTTCTCTCTTAAAGTGTCTTCTTCCTCCCCTGAATTCTATCACTAAAAGTCTCTCTACAATGTTGACGAACAGAGGATTGGAAGGAGGGTATGGCATTCAGAAACCTGAGATAAAGCAGCCCCTCATCTCCGAAGCGGCGAGTAGCAGTTGCTCAAATGGCGACAAAGAAGGATCCGTTTTGATGGTTCTTCTCAGCACCTTTGTTGCAGTTTGTGGTTCTTTTCAATTTGGTTGTGCAGTAAGTGATCTTGGTGACTGAGCTTTCTATAATGCCCATTGTCCTCATTTTGCAGAGGTTTCAAGCTTTTTTTTTTTCTTTTTTTTGCCTTTTGGGGGGATTTTTTTTTGTTTTTTTTTACTTTAATGGCGGTTTACACAGTTGGGTTTTTCGTCTCCAACACAATCAGCGATTAGGAATGAGCTTGGCCTCTCATTATATGAGGTAATGTTCACTAATCTCCTGTTCTGTATTTAGTTTTAGCCTTTTAGGAAGCTTAACAAAATTTGTATGAGAGATGAAGCATTTAACATTTTTGAAATATTTTTTATTTAATTCTAAAATACTCATCAAAATCATTTGTTGGAATAGTTGTAGAGCATGATTCAATGCAACGTTTGTAAGTTCAACTTGAACCCCAAATTTAGTCAAAACGAGTACCCTCCAAAAAATGAATCTAGACCATTTATTTTATGAATTTCAAGATCTTAGCCTTTATAAACTCAAAATCATTTTTTTTTAAAAAAAATATTATTCATCTAATGATAATAAAGTCATCCAAAAAATTGGAAATAAAAAAATCATTCTATGCCCAAGATCTTAGCATCTCACCAAAATAAACGGCATATGTTAATTGGGCTAAAAAAATACTTTTTAGATAGTGTTTTCAATTTATTGTTTTTTGTGATTGTTCATTAAAATGAAAAGAGTGTATATTTCAAATTTTGAATCAAACAAATGGCCATAAGCTGTTTTTAAAAGTTATTGCATCATATTACTATACAATTGTTGCATGAAATCATTGCTTATAGTTGTAAATATGTAAGATGTTAAACAGTGATCTCTAATTGATATTTTGATAAATTTTAAATAAAAATTTTAGTTGTTACTTAAAACCATATTTTTGTGATGAAACTTAGTCAACTGTTTGAAATTTGTAAAAAAATAAAGAAAAAGAAAAAGAAAGCAAAAACAAGAAAGTCATATTTTCAAACAAGAGTTGACTAAATTTGGCAGAAATAAACCAGAAACTCCATGTTTTAGTTTCTTAGGATTTATTTTAAAACTTTAAATGAACTTTTTATCTGAAAGGATAAATTTCATACTTATTTTCTGCCATAATCGGCAAAAATAGGCCAGTGACCAGGTGTTTTGCAGTATTTTGTCGTCTTTTCTTTTTGAGAGTTGGCTTCTCTTGTATGGACATTTCTTCCTAAAAAAAACCTTAAATGGTTCTAAAAACCGTTACAACGGATGTTATAACAGCACGCTTTAAGGGTGTGTTACAATGGCCATTGGCCAATATCAACGTAACATTATTATATTATGTTATTTTGGTTTCAAAGAGAGACACGATGAACCATTATAACAACTGTTATAACAGTCAACAGGCTTAGAGCCAAAGTCCGTTATATGACATAACTATGGTGTCTAAGCCTTTTTTTCAAACTTCACGTTTTAAGCCAAAGTCACTTTTGCACTTGTGATATTTATGCATTAAAGATTCTGCTTGTCTTTTTCCTTTTATACACTGGCCAGAGTTGGAATTTTCAGTTTTTTGTTAGTTTGTTTGTTTGTGTGCAGTACTCTGTTTTTGCATCCATCTTGACAATTGGTGCAATGGTTGGGGCGCTAATGTGCGGGAGCCTAGCCGATTACACTGGTCGAAAAGGGGTGAGCTCAATTGCATTGTGAACATATCAAGCGATCAGATTCAATTGGTTTCCTGAAGTCTTAGGAACTTTTATGCTAATTAACTGTTTTTATAAGTAGGCAATGAGAATAGCAGCCATCTTTTGCCTCACGGGATGGGTAGCGACTGGCGTTTCTAAGGTCTGTTGTCTTGGTTCAGAACAAGTGGAAGTTTTGATATTTGTCAAAAAAATATAGTAGTTGTAGAAATAAACAACCTTCTGTAGTTCTGCTCTTTAATTTAGACTGTAATTAGTAGGTCCATAAAAATGGCTCTACATATTGACCTTTCAAAAATGAAATGGCCCATTTGTACAAAAATGTGATTATTCTTAGGGAAAGTATATTGTAATCCAATTGATAATGGAAAGCAATATAGTATATTAGTTTTCCCTGTTGATTGACATGATACGCGCTGATGGAGAGAGAGTGGAACCAACCATTGAGGTTGTGTCTTGTTCTGGTGCGTCTCACTCTTGACCTGATGAACTGTGATCTTTCCATGGTCCATTGCATTGTACCATTGTTTACATTGTTCTAAATGGAATCCAGAAGGACATCTTATGTTCTTAACTCTTTTTGCTGTGAAAGGATGCATGGATTCTAGATCTTGGAAGACTATCTGTGGGATATGGAATCGGTGTTTTCTCTTATGTGGTATCCTCAAAAATACCCTAGATATTGTCATTAAATCTCTGGCAATTACAAAATTGTGTCTAGTCCATAATCACCATTGCTTTGATCATAAAATTTTTAATCACATCACTCCCCAGGTTCCAGTGTACATAGCTGAGGTAGCACCCAAGGACCTTAGAGGAGGTCTCGGAACAATGAATCAAGTAAGATAATAGGTAGAAAAGTCTCTTTTGGGCTATGGACAAGAAAGGTCATAATCTCAGCTCCTGTTTATTATGCAGCTAATGGTCGGTTTTGGAATCTCAACTGTGTACTTACTAGGAACAATTTTGACCTGGCGTACACTTACTTTAACTGGTACATTTCTCTCTATATGAATGAAATGGTATGTATTTCATGTTCCTGATATCCTCATAAATAAGGGAAACTAGACAGTCATCCAAAGGTCTATGGGAAAGCAATACTCCATTGAGTCATGATCGCCCATTGAAATGATGGAGGATGATTGTGCGAGAGTGGGAGCTGCTAGAACATGACGACATCCCAATGGTGGTCTCTCTCTCTCTCTCTCTCACACACACAAATCAGATTAATGGACAACAATTACTCAATGGACCATCATGTTCCCATAGTCTGTTGATTTGATTATAGTATACTTTCCCTAAAAATATCTTCACTTTTGGTTTTAGGAGTCCAGAATAGCCACTTGTTCTTTTAGAGGCCACAGAGATCTTGGCAAATTAGACAAAAGACCCCTGTAGATCAGTTGAAAATCAATGCATAACTAGTGGGGTAAAAGAAGCAGTTATGTCTCATGAGTCATGACTCAATCAGATATTTTTGGTCCCAGCTCAAAGATGAATTACACTCAGGTTAGGAAGATATATTGAGAAACCAAAAGTTGGGGACTGAAATACACTAGAGTTGGTGCGTAAATGAAGGTTTTTGTGTATTTAAGTTTTTACCAATTTTATTTGCCATTTCTTGTGCAGGGATAATTCCATCCTTGATGCTACAACTAGGTCTCATTTTAATTCCGGAATCTCCTAGATGGCTGGTTTGTCAGAATTCTCAAATGTGTTCATCTCATGTTACATCCATTTCGGAGATAATCAACATTTCTTGAAAACATAAAATAACCAATGAAAAATCATGCTGCAGGCAAAAGTTGGAAAGCAAAGTGAATGTGAACTAGCATTGCAGAGACTACGGGGGAAGGATGCCAATATTTCTAAAGAAGCAGCTGACATTGAAGTTTGTAATCTTTTGCTTCTTAGTGTACATTATAAACTTTTAATGAATATGTAAATTCTACAAATATGTAATAGAAGGCCACTATCGTACAGGACTCCATCAAAATTATTGATAGCCTTCCACAGGCCAAACCGCTAGACTTGTTCCAAAGGAAATACGTGTATCCACTCACTGTGAGCAACCTTAAATCCTAAGCCCATCAGGGTCATCTTGAATATATTGTTCTTGTTTTGTATTATATGACAAAAGATTGGGTATTTTGTTCTTAATCTTTCTAATATGTACGTGTGTATATAGCAAGTGGACAATAAACCTAACCATAGTTCAAGGGGACATCACCATTATTGATATGACGAATGGATACAGAGAGCGGGGCCTGCCAATTAATTCATTTCCTGACTATCCATTTCAATGGACAGCAATGATCTCATGGTTATGGTTTTCCCATGGTTAATTTGATCATTGTATACCTTCCATACTTCAAAGCTATAATAGCTTTAAGTTACTAGAACCCCAACAATCCTTCTCATTATTAACCTTCAACTTCCTCATCCAACTATTATTCAATTCCCTGATGTCTTTCTCAAAATCTTAAATATTTCAATAATTAGGTAGGAGTTGGCCTTATTTCCCTGCAACAATTTGGTGGAATGAATGCAATCAGTTTCTATGCCAGTGAAACATTTGTTTCTGCAGGTAACATGCACTATTTCCTGTATTTTTGCCATGATATCTGTCTTTAATAACCAATTGAATGGAATTTTCTAATTCGTTTTATATGTTTTCAGGATTCTCAAGTACAGTTGGCACTATCTTGCTGGCTGTTATGCAGGTCTTCCATTTCTATTTATAGTATGGACTTATCTAACTGCATCTTGACCGGTGAACTTCTAAAAATTGCCTTGGTTTATCAGGTTCCAGCATCATCAATCGGTGCACTTCTGATGGATAGCTATGGAAGGCGGCCTCTTCTAATGGTAAGAATATTATACAGAAGAAAATAAATTGAAAAAATTAGAGACGGGAAAGTGTATTATAATCAAATATGGGAAGTCTGTTATGTACTGACTTTTCATTTCCACATAGACAGTGATGGATTCCACTTTCTCCATCATTTCTGTGGATGGTGTTGACCCAATGGACTATGGTTTTCATAGTCCACAGGGTTATAGGTACTTTCCCAATGATAATTTGCTGGGCTGTGACTAAAGAGGATTTTGGGTATATGGATGGCTCATGGTGAAATATTATGAGTTCAGATATCTGCAACAGGGACATGCATAGGTTGCCTTTTCACTGCAATATCATTTGTGCTTAAGGTAAAGTAGAAAAAGCCAAATCCAAGCATTTTAACATTAATGGTTTCTTTTCTTACTCATTTTCAAACATAAAGAGCGTCAGATTTACTGAACAATAATCTTAAGTCATTTCTGTGAAACAGGACCTTGATCAATCAGAAAAAATTTCCCCAATACTAGCACTTTCTGGCATCCTGGTAAAGTTTCTGAAGAGAATTCTTTTAAAATGATAGGTGATACATATTGTGTGATGAATCTGAGACAGCCATTTCTTTGTGTGATTGATTTAAGGTTTTTGAGACATCGGTCGCATTGGGCATGGGTGGGATACCATACATTATAATGTCTGAGGTGAGCTTCAAAAGCATGAACAATATGCATGCATGCGCATGCGTGTGCACGTGTGTACTTGAGAGAGAGGCCTATTAACATTCTTATCTGAAAAGCTATCTCAATGCAGATATTCCCCATCAATGTGAGGGGATCAGCCGGGAGCCTCGTGAGCTTCACACACTGGTTCGGTTCTTGGGTCATCACAATTACCTACAGCTCCCTCATGAGCTGGAGCAAATCAGGTTTCAAAGAAAGAAATAAGAAAACCCTCTCTTACTGTCTAATTTACATGCAAGTTGATTAGAGGAGAAAAATGTAGATGAAAGTTCTTGCAGGGAATTGAACGTACATCATTGGTGTATGGTATATGGTAAACCAGGGTTTCATCCATCATGTCCCTAGGATGGATGATGGATATTAGTCCTAGCGCCTCATGACTGACATTTCCCGAGGTGCAGGGATTATTTGATGCCAGTCACTGGGAACATGTGGTGCATGCCCCTGTGGTGTAATGTATATGATACACCTTTGATTGAATTAAGTAACAATTGGGTGTATGGTAATTGGTCTTGGAGGCATGATATCCATGCCTTTAAGATATTGTTGCCACAATTTAGATAATTTTGCAATATGCTATTTTATGCATTAAGTATCAACAACTCCTATAAGTAAAGCCAAATAATTTTTATACATCCGCGGCTGTCTATTTATTCCCTCGAGTAAAATTCAATATGGAAGTAATTTTAGGAGAGTCCAAATTTTGGGGATGTAACCTCTTTCACGCATAGACTAACCTCATTTGATAAAGTTTCCAAATTGAATTGTGTACTAGAAAAAAAATAATATATCAAGACTGAACAGAGACCGTCCAATTTTGACGGACGAGACCTAAGTGCCCAAGTGTCAAAAAATGTGAAATTCAAATGTTTTATTTTAAAAATAATCATCTAGTGATTGTTAGGCGGTTCCCATAAATTCAGCTTGAAGTATGGCCTTATGACTAAGGGAGTAGATATACAGCGATACTCCCTTTGTAACATAGTATATGCACTCATAAGTAAAAACTAAATTTTTTTTAGGTTTGCTACATTTTTGCAAATCTACATGATTCTTTGATGCAACAAGGGAAAGTAAAGAGTATGTGTTTCCTCTTCATCAACTCAAACTTTTATTTTTCTTTTATATATATGTATATATATATAAATATTACTGATTTGAGGGGAGGACAAATGCCAATCAGCCCTTGCACGTCAGACTGTCGGGGAGGTTCAAAACTGTAGAAACCTAGCTGCCACTATTATTGACTTGGGCTGTTCCTGAATAATGGAAGGACTCCATAAGTAAATCTTGGCAAAAGTACTAGTATATCCTTCTAAAAGGAAGAAAATGATGCAATAAATCTTGAAAAGAATGGTCAAAATCCATTTAAAAATTATTGAGGTGGTCAAATTATCCATAAAGTTTTCATCATCAGCATCAGAGCCTTTTCTCAACTATTCGGAATCGACTACACAAATATTGGTCTGCTATTCCCATTTATCAATGGTCATACCTTCAGTGAGGCTACAAGTCCCCATATCTTTTTTCACTACTTCCAACTATGTATTTTTGGGCCTACCTTTTGCCCTTTTTGAGCCTTTTGCTTGAACAAATATGTACCCCATAATAGATGTTGTACTACGTAGCTGCACATTGTCAACCCACCAAAGTTTACTTTCTTTCATCTTATTGCATATTGGAGCCACACCTAAAATTACCTAGGCATAGCTCTCTCAATTGTTTGAGATCCTAAATAAGCACATATATTTTTGTTATGTGGTCTGTAATACAAGTGGGGCAAATTTACGGAAATGCTTGCACGTGTTTTGGACTTCAAACCTGAAACAACAAATTCTAGTGAAATAACACATATCCCAGATTGATAGCAAAAAGGTGTTTATTGATACCAAAATGTTAACATTTTCAAAACACAGGCATTTTGAAACAAACATCTTATTTATTTTGAGACATGATTTACAACGTTAAATCCCAAAAAAAACACATAATTTCCACCGAGTAAGTTATACTCTCCCATTCATAGTGGGTTGTGGTAATGTTTGTTTCAGGCACATTCTTCATATACACTGGAGTTTGTGGGGCGACTGTGTTATTTGCTGCCAAGCTGGTTCCGGAAACAAAGGGGCGAACACTTGAAGAAATACAGGCTTCCATTGAGCACTCTTCTCCCTGAAGAGCTCAGTCAACTGTGGACATGGTCAAGCTTGCTTGCATGATTAAAGGATAAACGTGAGTCTGGTTTGAGCATGACTCATGCTTGGTTTGAGCCTAAACCACATAGCTTGAGCTTGGTTTGATTAAGGATTGTTAAGTTTGAGGTTGGTTTCGCATGTTCATGTAAGCATGCCAGCCATAAAGAAGCAATTAATCGAGCCGCATCAAACTTACAAACAAGCCAAACATGAGCCGCCATAATGCAAAGTATATTTCAAATTTACATGTATAAATGTGAAATATACCTCGCATTATAGCGGCTTATGTTTGGCTTGTATGTAAGTTTGTTGTGGCTCTATTAATTGCTTGTTAATGACTGGCATGCTTACATAAACATGCAAAATGAAATCAACCTCAAGCTTAACTGCCCTTAATCAAACCAAGCTCAAGCTATGTGCTATGGCTCAAGCCAAACTCAAGTTTATCCTTTAATCATGCAAGCAAGCTTGAGCATGTCCAAACCAAGCTCAAGGTGTGACGATGATGTATATGTGATATTAATATATACTACTAATTATATAAAATATATGGACATGGATTCTACAAGTCGTTGGACACATATGTAGAAATGTACCCCTCTTAATAATCCGTTCTTGAAATAGATTTGGCCCTAATTTTTGAGGAATTTGTATTCTCTAACATGGATATTAATATATAAAAATTAAAAAAATTAAAAATTAAAATGATATATTTTTTGAAGGAAATATTTAAACCATTCATTTTAATTTTTTTGGGAGGGACCACAATTTAATCTATCTTTGGGATGGATGATTATGCCTTGGGAAACAAATCAAGTGCATCCTCTAGCACATATGACACTTTTCTAAAATATATTTAAAATAAATAAGCATAGATAATTAGTCATATACTAAACAAGCTCGAGCCCTTTCCTGAATTCCTTAATAAATGAGCTACTCGGCTAGACTTGCCTTCTCCTGCATGACATCAAGGAAAAGGTAGGCATGGATATAAACAGTCAAAAGATTTTATGGTTTTATGGGACTGAAATGTACTCTTGTTCTCTCAAGCAAAACACTAGAGCATTAGGTAAGTTTTTGGTGGATGAGACCTTATCAACCTAGCAACCGACATAAAATGGAAAAATCAGCATAGTCATTCTAGAGGTGCCTCAAAAGATTGTTTAGGTTGAACAAATTGTAGGCATCTCACTTTGGCTAAGGGTCCTCCTAGGTGCCTTAAACCTTAAAATCTAGACCTTTAAATTTATAAAATACATTTACATAATATCCTAGACCACCTTCAATCCTAACAAACTTAGAAAACTACCCCATGCACCAACTTGATGGCCAAAAACCTTGAAACTGACCATTTAAAGTCCAAACATAATGGCAGCTTTAGAATTGCGTCAAATTTGATTCTAAATTGTATAGGAAGTCGTAGGCTTTCCAACAATCTAAGAGTTACTCGAATTTGGATCCTCTGTGTGAAAGTTATGGGCAAAATACAATTTGTCAATCAAAAGTTCCATTTTAGTCTCAACATGCATTGTTGTCAACATGCTACACGACGAGGTCACATATCACTGATATATACCATGTTGACAGCCCAAGATGACATCCAAAAGGCCCCAAATTTTTCTTCGAGCCTCTAGGGTCTGTTAGGGTCCTGTGGCTTCAAATTTTGTGATTCTAGGTCCTAATTATCTTTGAATCTCAGGTCTAGAGATCCTTGGATTGATTTTTTAGTCGTCTATATCTAAAATGTACTAGGACCAACTTAACTGAGATCCTAAACCTAGGGGTTATCTTTCTTCAACTTCTCAGACCATGCTTTCCTAAAACTTACGAGAAATTATTCACCCAAAAAAAACAAAACAATGGAAATTGCCATGAATGCTAGTCTAGCATCTCAAAATATTGACAGTAACCCTAATATATTCTCTTTTTTGTTTAATTCAAAACCCTAAGAAACTTCATTCAAAACAAGATCCAGCCTTGGGAATCTTCTGAGCCATAATTGAATTATAGGCCAAAGTAGGGCTCATTTTGGTTCATGGTTCTCCGGACACTGCAAACCACATTGATGTAAATGCAGACTATGTCTATGTCAATGTGCAATGCAATGGTGGACAAACCAGTGATCGTTTGATCTCGATTTTTGTGAGATAATGCATTAGGGCATTTTCATCTCAAGTTTTGTGAGATAATACATTAGGGCATTAGGGCATTCATATCTCACTGAGGTGGGAGATTGGGTTTTGCCCAAAATACCCCTTTGTACCTTAACCAAATTTCTTTTTATAGGATTTCAAAGACTTTATTAGAAGGAAGATAAAAGGAAATTACAAAGTCGGATACAACTGTCTCAGCTAAAAAAGTACCCCTTTTTGTAAAAAAATCTGCCAACATATTGGCTTCCCGAAAAACATGTACAAAAGAGAAGTTAAAAGGTCTAATAAGTCCAGGATCTGTAGCAGCACAGATCTCATCTCCCAATACGACTTCTGCTCCCCTTTCCACCACTTGATGACATTTAAAGAATGTCCTTTAATAACACAAAAAGGAGCTAAATTCCTAGCTACAAAAAATTTCAAGCCATAAAGAAGTGCATGTAATTCTATATAATTTACGTTTTTTCCTCAAGAGGACCTGCAAAAGTAAAAACAATAATTCCATCCCAGTCTCTAACCACTCCTCCAAAGCCCGCTAAATCAGGGTTTCCTAACGAGCTGCCATCAAAATTGAGTTTAAAGGCTCCTCTCATTGGGGCATCCATCTTCCCTTGGGCCTACATTTGATAAAGCCATTTGAAAAAGGTTCGGTAAGTTTCTCCTAATATCTACTTCCAATATATCTTGCCCAACTTTTGTAACCGATAGATATGGTCATATTGTGTACAAGATCTTCTCTAAAATTCTTTCAAAGGACAAACTTATCCCATCAAACCCGCTCCTATTTCTTTCTTTCCACACATCCCACAAAATCACACCTCTCATGATTTGCCAGATCACCACACCTGTTTGCGGTAAAAAAGAGAGCGAGAAGTTTGAAACTATCCACTCAACTTTTGAAGGCATAACCATCGTCATCCCAAGCTGAGCAAAAAACCAACACCAAAGTCTAAATGTAAATGGACAATAGAGAAACAAATGAGCATATGTTTCACCATCACCCTTACGCATGAGATAGATATTCGGCAGGATCTTCCCTTTCTTGATGAGATTATCAATAATTGATACCTTATCTTGCACTAGCAGCCATAAGAATGCTTGCACCTTAAGTGATAAAGGCCAATTCCAAATAATGGCAACTTCAGGTATGAACCACCTCCATCGATCATGGAACAACAACTGATACATTAACTTAACCGAATAAATTTCATCTTTATCAATATCCTAAACAACCTCATCAATGCATTTTGAGGGATATATACTTCATTCAATAATATCAACAAACCAAAAAATTCAAAAAAGAGGTGATCCGAAATTCTATTGTAGGAAAGATTAATATTCCACACAACCTGATTACCCCTTATCTCAAAGGAATCAACAATAACAACATTGAGGTTATCCATCATTTGAAACACAAGTGGGAAAACATATTTCAAAGTTGATGAACCTAACCATTTGTGGTATCAAAAAGAGATATTGCTTCCATCACCCAAAGTCCATCGGATGTCCTTGTGAATCAAAGATTTACAAGATTGAATAGATCTCTAGCAGTGAGACATCCCCCTAGTACCATTCCTCGATCCAACCCACATTCTAAATCTATCATCTCCATACTTCGAGGCAATCACTTTACACCAAAGTTGATTTTTGAAATTTAAACTTCTCCACCACCATGTATAGGGTAAGGCTTGGTTTACAAGTTTAATTTTCTTTATTCCTAAACCACCCTCCTTTTTAGGTTTGCACACCCTATCTCATCCAAGAAAATGGTCCTTTTTATTGTCCATAGAGGAACCACATAGAAAGTTCATCACTAAAGTTTCTATTTTCCTAGCCACCGATGAAGGGATCCACGAAATAGACATTTGGTATATTGGTAAGTTTAACAAATACGCCTTTACCAAAGTTATCTTTCTCCCCAAATAAAGGTTTTTATATTTCCACATATCAAGTTTTACTTGGATCCTTTGGATAACTTTATCCCAAACAGCCAACGGGAGTCGACCATCCGATATTGGCATACCCAAATACGTGATTGAAAAATTATCCACCTTACATCCCAACATTTCAACAATCTCCAGGACCACAGAATCACTACAATTAATGTCAATCACTACAGTTTTCTCAAAATTAACCTTAAGACCTAAGGCCACATTACAACATCTCAAGAGAATAGCAATATTGTTAATCTGATCAACCTCAGCCTCACAAAACAGTATAGCATCATCTACATATTGCAAATGAGAAATACAGTATCCCTCATTTGGCATCTGGAAGCCCGAAAGATGCCTCTTACTTTAGACATTTCTCACAAGAAGGCTTAAGTATTCTGCATAAATAGTGAATAGAAAAAGGAAAAGAGGATCACCTTGACGAAGACCCCAAGACATCTTAAAAAACCAGTCGAGCGCCCTTTATACAGAATGGTAAAATGTGCAGAGGATAAGCATCCATAAATCAAATTTCTCCATTTCTTACCAAAGCCCATGTTCTTCATAATTTTCAAAAGAATGCTTCATTCAACCATGTCATATATCTTTTCCATGTCCAATTTAATCACCACCCCAGCACTACCACTAAAAAAAACCCCTAACAATTTCCAACAACTCTCCACTAATCAGATTCCAAAACTTATGGAAAGATATTAAAGGAAATCCGTCAAGGCCAGGTGCCTTATTACCTGGCAGAGAAAACACTGTTTTTTTTAACTCGTCCATTGAGACATCACTCTCCAGAAAAGTTAGTAAATTTAAAAGTAAAACTTTGAACTCTACCCTATTTAACCAAGGGCTAAACATCACCTCTAAAGAAAATGTTTTTTGAAAATGACTAATGTTAGCATTAGACATCCCATTGCTATCATCAATATCTACTCCATGGATCAACATACCAGAAACATCATTCTGTGGATTGCACGCATTCGCTATGGCATAAAAAAATTTGGTATTTAGATCCCCCTCCTTCAACCATTTCACTCTAGACTTTTGTTTCCAAAAGACATCTTCTACCCTTCTAAGCTCATGTAACTCATTTGTTTTTTAACATCTCTCCACTACCAACTCCTCAGACAAAACTCCAGAATTTTGCACAACTAAATCCACCTCTTCTATGCTTCTTAACACTTCCTCAATTTTTCCTCTAACATAATACCTGTTTTCTTTTTTCCAAACAATAACCTTATGCTTTACATTTAAAAGCTTCTTGTGGAGTTCGAGTCAAAGGAAATAATATTCTCCCAAGAGCTGTTAATAATATCAATCACTTCCTTCTCTTGTAACCATCCAATTTCGAGCCGAAAAGGTTTAGGTCCTACAGAGACAATTTTAGAGCTAAGCATAATAGGGTTATGAGCAGAGGAAAGCTTAGGTAAAGCTTTAATAGAAGCAAAAGCGAAAAAAATCTGACCACTCTCTTGAAACTAAAAACCTATCAAGTTTAGACATTGATAAGTTCGAAGTACTTCCATTAGTCCAGGTAAAGACTGTGCCTGAAATAGGTAGGTTTAGTAGAGCATAGGACTCAATAAACATGTTAAAAAGATGTATAGATGACGTAATATGCCCACCATGGCTACTCTGATCTGGCCATCTAATAAAATTAAAATCCCCCCCCTAAACAAATCGAATGGTCAAAGTGATGAAGGAAATCCAACATGTCACTAACAAAAATTTCATTCAAGGCAAAGATTTGGGGTCCATAAACATTGATCCACCCCCACTAAAAATTAGCATCTAGCCCCACAAAACCAACCACAAGAAAGTTTTCTTTTTTAACTAAGCAAAAGACTGTAATACTGATGGATCCCACAAAATCCATAGTCCCCCAAAAACCCCAACCGAGTCAATCCCCACAAAATCTACTACCCCAGAACCCTAAACTTCATTGACACCAGACAAACTGTGACTTAGAAGTTTGGTTTCCTGCAGAATTAGAACAATAGGCTTAAACTTACAAACCAAAAATATGACGTCTTTCTTACGTTTGAGGTCGCCCAAACCTCTTATATTCCATGAAAGAATAATCATTAAAAAAGTTTAGCAGAGGAGGAACCTATGCCATCCTTGCTCATACCAAAGTAAGCTTCTTTCAGGAGCAACGCTTCCTCCATGGCCTCATCCAATGCCTCTTCCATAGCCACCGACGATTCTGAGGAAGAAGATATCCCTTCAATAACATGTTCATCATGGATGATGACTCTTTTAGCAGCAACATCTGTATGCAGAAATCCCCGAGCCAGCAACCTCGCAGATGATCTCGTACACTTCATCGAGCTTTTGCCTTTAAGTTTCGTCTTTCCCCCTTGGTAGGAGTCTTCCCACTAGCACTAAGCTTCTCCTTTCCTACAGCTTGTTTCCCCTGGTTTTCTGCCTTCTTCTTTTCTATAATTTCTTTGAAGACCACTCCAATTGGGACATCAAAGTCCAACCCACTATCAGAAACAATTGAGGCAACATCGTCCCCTTTCGAGTCTTCTTGAACCACCTCCTCTGGATTCATCTGAACTGGCATTACCTTCGGAGCATGAAAGTTCCATGCTTCTACCGAAGGGTTTACAGCAACAATATGAAGAAGCAGAGGTCTATCCTCTTCTCGGATAACATTGAGAGAGGTGGAATCATCGGCTTCCACCCTAGCTACCCTAGAGTCTTGTACCAAGGCATCAGTATCAGAATCAGCTTCTCCACCACCTTCCACCACTTCAGGAACAAATTTCCCTTCCTCCAAAACCATGTGCTTTTGAACCTCCTCAATCACCACAATAGCCATAGGATTGATATTCGAAAGATCAAAGGAAGGCCTATGAGAAGAGTGACACTTCCTGGTTGCACGACGGTGCATCAGATGATACATCTTTCCTAGCAAAACTAACACAAATTGGACGGCCAAAGACAAACCGAGACGATGGCCTGCACCCACCAAAGCGGAAACTAGGAGAAACTAGCTGAAATCCCACTATTTTGAATCCAAAACCACTGCCTGCACACCTGCAACCGATAATTTTGAGGGAGAAAACCTTCCCTCTTCCAATTGTGCCGGCGTAAAATCCGGGCGGGCCACCACATCTTGTACTCTGCCCATCATTCCTTCTTCCTGTAATTGTGCCTCAAATCCTATATGCCGAGATATGTCATTTTCCCTCCTCACTTTGGACTTATCAATATCAAGAGCCACACCCACTGGGTATACCTGACACGGGTCTGGAAATGGGTCCATGTTTTGGACCCACTAGTAGGGTCCAGGACTAATTAAGGATACGCTAATTGTTCTGGGTCCGAGTATGGGTCCTGTTATACCCGACCCGACGAGTACCCAGACCCGAATTTTTAGTTGACCCAAAGGCCAAAGCCCCAACCCTTAAATCATTTCAATACTTTTCGTCTTCCTCTGGTTCCTCAAACAGCCAAACCCCATCGCCATCCTCCCTCTTTACAATTCTCCCTCTCTCAGTTCTTAAAGACATAGCTCTCTCTAGATCTCAAATGTCTCTCTCTCTCTCTCTCTCTCTCTCTAATCGCCCACCCCTCAAAAAGCAGTTCTCTGTTGCTCACCATTGTAGGCTACAAAAAAGGAAGCTCATAGTGAGAGTGGCAATGGACTCGACCAAACCAAGGACCCGACGGGTAGGGCTATGGGTCCAACTTTTTGGACCCGATAGGTTGGGTCCGGGTTCAAAATCTAGACCTGAATACATTCAGGTCTGCATTCGGGTCCAGCCGCACCCTAATCTTAGACTTCAATTTTAACAATAAAATTTGCTTTATTTCTTTTATTTCAAGCTTTTATTAAAAAAAAAAAAAAGGGGAAGAAGAAGATTTTGAGCGAGATCTAGTCTAGCAACGTTGGAGGTTTATAGGAAAGATATCGTAAATCTCTAAATTGCAAATTGTAATTTAGTTGGAGCCTGATCCTTTTACTTTTATAGTTTATTTACAAATACACCTAAATCAGAGACGGTTGATCGGAAATCACTTTCCCAGATTTAGGTATATAAACACAAGTATTATTTAATTCGACGTTAAAATCTAGGTATAAAGGAACTCAAAATCTTTTTCCTTTTTTCCTTTATTTATTTTTTTCGTGAGAATTATTGATCTTGTGATTGGATTCGAAATTTTCACAATAAAATGCGGTTTGTATAAGGCTAAGGCTAAGGCGCTAAACAATTAAAATAAGGCGCACTTTCGAATAGTATCGGAATATGTTGTTTCAGTATCAGAAATTTTTATGATTATTTTCATATCGAATCATAAAATTTAAATATTAAAAAGTAATGTAGATTGAGTAGTTCTATGAATACTTGAAAATTGATGGTCTAGATAATACATTACAAGATACATTATTTCTAAAATTTGAAATCTATTTTTTCTCATGTCCATACATCTAGAGGTCAAGATGAACAAATTTAGGATTTTCCACCATTGAAATGACATCTTCTAGTGAATTTTTGTGGTGGGTCTTAATTTGATTGTTTAGGGCCTCGCCCCTATATAAATTTTTTCCATCAAAAAAATCCACCTATGGATCTTGCGCTAAAAGGAGTTAATAAACAATTTGCTCCCACTGGAGCACGACATACATGATCACAAGATCCATGTCCGCATGGAAAATGAATCACAGAGACAATGATGAAGGATCCCTCCCTCACCATCCCGCCACCGGTAAACCACATCGCCATGGTGTTATTAATATTAGGGGTGGACACGGACCCAAATAGTATTCCGGCCAAAATTTGGAGCCATACTCAGACCTATCGGGTATTGTGCGTGGTTGAATTCATTACCACCCCATGACCATAAGCTTTTTCTTTTTTCTTTTTTTTTCTTTTTTTTTTGTTATTAATATTATAAATGTTGCCAATATTGTAACAATGTGAACTCCTAACATGTGCCTAAAGATATGATTACCATCATATGCTCTATGACTATGCTTATGGGTCGGGCAGGACCGAAAACAGTATTCAGACACAAAATTTGGACCCATACCCAGACCCGAAATCGGGTATAGTCTAGTCAAGTCCATTGCCACCCCTAATTAATACCTTTTATAGTCTATAGCACTAGGGGTATCAATGGACCCGGATCCTATTTGGGACATGAAACGGGTCCAGATATGGGTCCAACATTTGGACTCGAGGATTAGGTCTAAGTCCAAAACCTAGACCTGAACACTATTTGGATCCAAATTTGGGTCCACAACCTGGACCCAAATACTATTTGGGTTTGGGTCCTGGTCCAGCGGGACCCGAGCCGCTGCCACCCCTATATAGCACGTATACTATGGACATTCTAGTCCCGCGGGAGTAGAATTTGTTTTGGCATCTTCTTATTAAGGCACCCAGGGTTATTTTCGTCATTTTCAAGAGGGCCCTGAGTTTTTCTTGCGGAGAACGGATAAAGGGGTTTAGAAATCCCAAAACCCAAACCTCCTTCCAATGTTGTAAAGCTCTTGCCTAAATAAAAAGAAATTTTGTTGGGTTCCATTTAGGAAAATATCTTGTTCATGTTCTTTGTTCTCTGTCTCAAATTTTGATGGCAATTGCATTTCCATACGCTGTAGCTGGTAATTCTGTTACAGTCCGATGGAATTTACCGAGAGCTTCGCTTCTCAGAACACCAGTCGCAGCAAGAGGTTGGCATTCAGTTATTTTCCATTAAACCAATTTGTTTCTTTTGTTGGTATTTTTTATTTCTGGACTGCTTTTTGAGTTAACATATGTAATTCTATTTTCCCCAGTGGTAAGCCTGTACTGTATTTTGTAATTCTTCTCCTCTTTGTTCTAATGGAAATGGGGTATTTATTCTTCTATTTTATTGTATTCTTTTTTGGCTTCTTGACTTGAAATATGTGCTTCTTTTTGTTATAGGGAATGTTTTATTTTGCTTTGTTGTTTTTTTGGCCATTTTTCTTGACTTGAAATGTACCCATAATAAAAGTGGTTGTTCTTATTATTCTGATTCTTAAGCTGAAGGTAATTGTAAGGCTGAAGGTAATCGTAAGCCACTTGCTGCTGAGTTCGTGCATTACCATTATTTCTCCTTGGCAATGTGTTCTAGGTAGGGAAAAAGTTAAAGCCAGTTTAATCCATTACAATTTAATAGAAGATTAGTTAAATAAATAAGGGCCTGTTTAGTGTATTTGTCATCTATGAAAATCCACAGTTTCAATAAAGTTAATCCTGACAACAAATTGTCTATTGTGTTGGTGTTTAGTATCTTGGGTCGATCATCCATGAGAATGGAAAGATTGTGGAAGATGTTACAGGTAGAATTAGAGCTGGGTGGACAAAGTGGAGATGTGCTTTTGGAGACTTTTGCAATCATGACATACCAATGAAACTGAAGGGGAAGCTGTATAAGATGGCTATCAGACCAGCCATGCTTTATGGGATGGAACGTTCGGCAGTCAAGAAACATGTCTATAGAATGAATGTAGCTGGGATGAGGATGTTGAGATGGATGAGTGGCAAGAAAATAAAGGATAGAATTTGGAATGAATACATCGAGGGAACATAGGGTTGACTCCAATAGTCTATAAGATGAGGTAAAGTAGACTTAGGTGGTCTAGCTATGTGTGGCGTCGATCTAGAATAACAACGATTAGGAGTAGTGATTTGGTTTAAGTGGAAGGCTTCAAAAGGGTAAAGGGAGGCCCAAAAGGGCATAGATGGAAATAGAAAGAAGAGATAGTTGACTTATGGCTGACTGAGGGTATGACCCTTGATAGAGCGGAATGGTAGAACAACATTCTTGTAGCAGACCTCAAATATTTGGGATAAAACTCAGATGATGATGAGGATGTGTTGGTGTCAGTGCTAGAAGTGAAAGTCCTCTCCAGAACTGTCATATAATATGTGGTGCACATGTGAAACATTTCCATGGGTTGAATCTTGTATCTATAACATTTTGGTATAGTAGTAATAATCAAAGATTGTTCAAAGGAGATGGAGTTAACTAGGTGTAATCACAACAACAAACATTTTCCAGTCCAGCCAGTAGGTAACAAATTTCCCACCGTTTGATTCTTTATTTGGGCTCCATGGATCGATCGGCTAAAAAATCGAGCTTCATAGAAAATAATGGCATGGCATACATACCTGTCTTCAATGAGTGACATAGGATGCCCCCATGTTAAAATAAATAATTCTTTTAACCTTATTATGAAATAGTGGGATAGTTTTGATCGATGAGACCCGAAACGGCACCAATACAAAGAACTTTGGAGGGATGCTCTAGAATCTAAAGATTTTAAATTAGCTAGACTAAAATAGAGTATATGGAATGCAAGTTTAGTAATAATAGGAGTAGAGACGATGAAGTAGTTAAGATTGATGGTCAAGAAATGCCGAAAAGAGCACACTTTCGATATCATGGTTCGATAATCTAGGAAAATGGAGAGATTAGAGAAGATGTCGCACATAGAAGTAAAGTTGGGTGGGCAAAGTGGAGATGTGCAACCGTAATTTTATGTGATCGCCGCATACCAATGAAGCTAAAGGGCAAGTTTTATAAGACAACTTTGAGACCAGCTTTGCTCTATGGGGCAGAATGTTGGGCAGCCAAAAAATAATATACCCATAGAATGAGTGTATCAGAGATGAGGATGTTGAGATGGATGAGTGGCAAGACAAGAAAGGATAGAATTCGAAATGAATACATTCGAGAAAATTTAGGAGTAGCACCAATAGGCGATAAGATGAGAGAGATTCGACTTAGGTGGGTTGGCCATGTGAGGCGCAGACCCAGTACAACACCTGTTAGGAGGTGCAAGTTAGTTCAAGTGGAAAGTTTAAAAAGGACAAGTGGTAGGCCCAAAAGGACATGGTTGGAAGTAATGAGAAAAGATATGGGAACTTGTGGCCTCACTGAGTGTACGGCCCTTGATAGAGCAGAATAGCGGACCAGGATTCATGTAGTCGACACCAATTAGTTGAGAAAAGGCATTGACTTCATGTCTTTTAGCATTATTTCTTGTCTATATGAGTGGTAGAATCATCAGTTGCAAATCAAGAATTCTATTTTCTGGTGAAATTTTAGATCATATTTGAATACTTTCAAAATTCAATTTATTCACAATCAACTATGGCAATTTCATGTTACTCTCAAGTATTGGTACTATCTAAAGGTTATACAATTGCACTAGGTGCGTACCTAGACTTGTTCATGCCGCTGTTACAATGATCAACCAATATTTTGATATTCATAATTGACAGCAAGTATTAAAAGCTCCTTTAGCCAAGTAGCTAAGCCATGATTTGCTTGAGTCCACCCAGCTTGGGTTCTGATCTAATGTAGCCCAAACTTGTTTGAGTTAGTAGTAAACTAGAAATATCTGTGGCCAGATATTCATTCTACTGATAGTAACCCATGCAAGTCATGATCAAGTACTATAATGATTCTGTGCATGTTACCTGATGTGTCATGATCCTGGTATTTTTGGAATCCAAAACTCATTTTTACATGGCAGATGTGGGACTTGCTAAATTTCAGCAGTCTCTGTTGTATATATACCACATGACACTCTTGAAGCCAAGACTCTTTTGTGGATACATGCTGTGGGACTAACTACATTTCTAGTACTCTTTCTGGTAAAACTACCTCAAGAGTCGAAATTAGAGCAAACCAGGACCATGGATGATGAATAGTCTTTCCCATTTGCACTGTTGCTTCATATTGTGTTGACTAGTGAAATCTTGTCATTGCCGTTATTAGTTCTTAGCATGATTTTTCTGACTACTTCCTTGATATCATTTGTTTGATATTTTTTTTGCAAATTTTTACTAATGGAGTATTTGAAATATACACTGCTGGAGATAAAGGTTATACCAAATTTCTTTGGGGATGCGCATTGAGTTCCAGCTCTAACTATGGAAAATCCCTATTGGGCCCAAGAAATTTCTTTGAAAGGTCCATTCCTGTGAACCGCAACACAAATAGGAGGCAAGTGATTCTCATTGCAATCTTGCTTGTTAAGATAAATTCGCATGTGATTCTTTTGCTTTATGTCTTAGGCTTTCTTTATTGAAGCTCCTTATCTGTTTATACTTGTTAGTTATATGATGGTGGGAATTTCAGATCAGATAAAATTAGTTTATGTGAAGCTTACTCTAAATATTGGCGCCGCTATTTCTCTCTTCAGGATGGGATTTTGTAGGTGTGCTACCATTGAAGAAATTGAGGCTGAAAAATCTATGATTGAAAGTGAAGCTGTCAGTTCCCATCACTTTCTGAGATAGGAAAAGTACTCTGTAATCCAATAGTCTGGAGAAATGCAGTCCATTTGGTCGTCACCATGACAGCATACATTGAAATGGATGGTGATGACCTGATGGACTATTGTTCCTTTTGAAATATTTTTCAAATTAAGTATGTCCATCTCAAATAGTATGAGACTTCAAACAATTCCAATTAAAGAAATATTTCAAAATACAATGATCATCATTATGTGCATCTTTATGATTTCACATGCAACTATTTGAATTGAAAATTCATTTTGGTCCTTTCATTGTTCTTACAGAAGGATAGGATGGAAAAGACTATTGAGACAATCAGAGGAAATTTTAATGCTGTAAGGACAGGAAGAGCAAGTCCTGCCATGCTGGATCGAGTTGAAGTACGAGTATTTTCCTTTAAATTGAGTGTCTTGTAAATGGTTGCATTTTACCATTGAGGTGATGGAAATTTGTTTGTAAAGCGTTGCTTCTATATGGTCATTGTTTCTAGAGGTACTAAGCAGTTTAGAAATAATTAGCACCTATTCATGTTGCCCATTTAGAGTACATGGGAAGAAATGCTCTAGTGCACACGGGTTCTCGGAAGATCACACCCACAAGGACCAACTTAGATACCCATAAAACATTAAAAAATACAACTCATAAAAACATGAGAAATATTAAAAAATGATGGAAATTTTCTAGAGATAGCTTGTAGACTAGTGATACGCTTTGGTTTTCTGGAGCTTTGTAAAGATTTAAATGATTGTAGTGATTTGTTTCTCATGTTATTTCACAAGCTTTATCAATGTTCTTGTTATTTAGGTTTCTCTTCTCAAAAAAAAATTAATGTGGCTTCTATATCTAAGCATTCTTAAAATAACGAGGGCCCGGCTGACAGTATATTTTATACACCTTCAGAATTTCTGTAGTTCCCTCCTTTCCTATACATTTTATAGAATTCTTTTTGAAATGGAAAAGGGAATGCGTAAGCCTGGTGCTTTTCATAGATTGATGGAGATATGCACCTAAATTCTTGTAATCGTTTAGGTGGTACCTGTCAGGACTTATATAACAAGATTGACCTTTCATACCATTTTGATATTCCATATGTCACCCAACAATTTGATGTGAATTCTATCTTCATTAATGTTCCTATACAATGTGGGCTTTCTCTTTACCTAGTGTTATATGAAGTATTTCATGTGTATAAGTGAAGGGTTGTCTTATCATCTTAAAATGGTACTCTGTAAAGGGTACGTGTACTAAAAACCAGTTATGGAAATAATCATAGTCCATGGGGTTCTGACCCTCTGATAATAAAATGACAGACAGTACTGAGAGAGTCACTGTTTGCCCCTTGCTTCCCCTCTCTCGTCATCTATTGTTTCATTGGATGCACACTTCTCATTTGTACATCCTATTTCTTCCTAAAAGTCTGTTTTTTATTTTATTTTGTTTATGTTAATAATTTGGTTTCCTTTGCTAAGTCCTTCCATGTATTTTTCCATGCTTTCAGGTTGAGTACTATGGAACTCCTGTCAGCTTGAAAAGCATTGCACAGATTAGTACTCCAGATGGAAGCTCCCTCCTTGTTCAACCATTTGACAAATCCTGGTAGACCTAGCTCTATCAATTTTATATTTTTTCGATAAGCAACTTTATACTATTAACAGAATAAGATTTCTAATATCGTTATTCAGCAAACAATATTGATTGAACAAGAATCAGTATAAATCTTGTTCTATTATTATTCATTAGCCGACCCCAAATAGATGGGAAAAGGCTATGATGATGATGATTCATTAACTGAAGTATCCTGATTATAACTTTGAGCTCACTGGTCCATTTTATTCATCTCAGCTTGAAAGATATTGAGAAGGCCATTGTAAAGTCCGATCTTGACGTGACTCCTAACAATGATGGAGAAGTGATTCGCTTGAATATCCCGCCGTTAACATCAGAAAGAAGGAAGGTGCTTTAGCTCCCCCACTCTCTTAAGGAAGAGCCACATCTGCTAAAATATTACAAAGACAGTTTCATTTTTTATTTTCTTATTAAATTTTATTGTGGATCCAGTCAACTACTTTTGAGTTATAATATTTCTCTTTGACACTAGTTTGTTTATTAGAGGTCATAATGAATTTAGTTCTTGGAAATATAACACTTGAGCTTGGCTGTAGTGACATTGGGATGTGTACTAGGACGCAAGCTTATGTGAAGAACTAACTTATTTTTGTTATGGTAAACCACAGTAATTCATGACATAGTTTTCTATGGGTTACTACGATTGTCTAGAAATTATACAGGCTTGCATATGGATTCCTAAGGTAGATTGTTTCTTTTCCTTTTTAGTTATGCAGTCATAGGTGTCCTAAAGAGATGACGAAGGCAAGGATTAGATGGCTCCTGCACCTGAGCTTGTCACCTTGTTATAGTTGTAGACTTGCCATTCTGTCATCTACTTTAGATCATGTGGTACTGGTTCCCAGCAAATTTTTGATTAATTACTTCGAAGAAATTATCATTCCAAAAAGACCTGGTTGAAATTGGACCATGTATTTAACAACCAGTACCTTGGCCTGCCTAAGTAATAATTTAATTTACCGTGCTTCCTGTCTAATGATGAATGCCAGTCATATTAGTCATGTTGCTTTTGTTGGCAAATGCAGGACCTATTAAAGATAGTGGCAAAACAAGCTGAGGAGGGAAAGGTATGCCTGCAGCGGGTTTTAAGCAGTCCGGAATTTTACCGTGGCATCTAGATTTTCAAATCATGGAACTAAATTGCAAGCTTTTACACCTTTTAATGTGCCAGTTTGTGATCAATCTAGGTTGCCATAAGGAATATAAGGAGAGATGCCATAAAAGCATACGAAAAGCTTGAAAAGGTTCGTGTATTAAAATGTAGTTTTTTTCTGTTTGTGTTTGTGTTTGTGTTTGTGTGTGCACTCGCACGTGCATGCATGCATGCATGTGTTTGTTTGTTTGTTTGAGAGAGAGAGAGAGAGAGAGAGAGAGGGTTTTCATTTACTCAATTATTTGACTGCCTTGTGGGTGGTTTTCTTTTGTGCCCTTTTATAGGAAAAAAAGCTGTCTGAAGACAATGTGAAAGATTTGTCAAGTGATTTGCAGGTATGAGGATTCCTTCTTAAAAAAATCAGATGTTTTTGAAAGTTATCATAGTGTTATGCATTTCCTGCATATCTGCAATCTTTGTTTTATGTATGGGAACTGGAAGAATTTTATTGCAGCTCATCATTTAGATAGATGTTTTCTGAGCTATGGTTGTAATAAAATAGGTTTATACTATTGGAAGTGTGATGCTCAGTTTATCTTAATACAGAAAGTAACTGATGGATATGTAAAGAAGATTGATTCCATCTATAAACAGAAAGAGAAGGTATTTCCAAACCATCCTTACTGAAAACGCTATAAACCCATTGCTGTTGGTGTTAGATATATTTTTCTAATTTTTTAGCCCTTTCTTGTTGATTTCTGATTTCTCTTTGTTCTGTTCTTTTAGGAGTTAATGACTGTCTGAGGACTCTCATGGTTAAGAGATAAGTGGGTAGATTTCTTTTTTTAATCAATTTATGGTTTTTCAAAAATAATTGTTGAGTTGCATTTGAAATGGGTTGTTCTTAAGCACATTCCAATTTCTCTGTGGGAAATTGACATAAATATGCAGAGGCTAATCACTGATATTTTTTATTGTCCTTTATTGTGACAGACAACACTACAGTCAAACCATTAATGTACGTTTTTGTCAAAAGGGAAGGAGTTTCATAATCCAGATCTCATTTGGATTCCAGCCCCACCTTGTTTGATTTTGCTTTTTGTTGCTTATTGTATATGTTCTGTGCTCGGAAAATAGTGCCAAATTTAAAGTGGATGTTAATGAATTGATTAGGGTCAGGTTTTTGTACAGAATGGATTTTGAATCTGTAACCCTCCAATATGAAAGTTCATGAGCTAAATTTGTTTCTTAACTGCTATTTTATGCTATTGCTAATATTATTTATTCCGACAATGTCAACAAGTAACGAAATGTGGATGCGGTGTGGCGAGAATGAAAGTGTGGATCTCGATGAGAAACCAGCATAAAATGCCCAACCATTTAACACTTCAGGTGGGTGTGCTCTCTTGTGTGAATAGTATGGAACCACTGAATCTCTCTACCCCACCCCAAACTATCTAGTTGTTATACCCCTGCATCGTGTAAATTGAAGGCATAGCACCTGCATTGTAGCAGACGCTAGAGATATGATTACTTAACATCATAGAGAGAATACCATTTCCAGTGGAGAGGGCAATTTGTCTCCTCTCTTTTTCATAGGCTGTGTTGTGATTGTACAAGAAAAAAGATGCCTTGGAATTATCGTTTGCTGATATAATTTTTCTGTCATAGCCATCACTTCACAATTGTATCATGAGCAATTCAATTAGTTTGTGGAAACTTATGCAAAACATTTCAAAATCGCAATGAAATTTGATATTGGGCATTGTTGCCCTTGTGTTCTTTCCTTATCAGATTCAATGGTCCCTTAAAATCCTTTGACATATAAGGAATTGAGCTTGGGTCAAGGCGGTAGCAGCTGGGTTTTCATAGCAGTACATTGTCAAAATAAATAAATCCTTTGACGTATAAAACACTTTTATTATTCTAATTTGTCAGAAAGAGGGGTATGATATGAGTCAGAAATGTCCATTTAAATGTGCTTTTTTGGGTAAGAGCAGTGAAAGGGACGAGGGCTTGGAGGGCTGGTTGGATATCGTTGATATCTTTGTTGAACAATTGCATTTAATCTTGAGGCCTCTTAACCTTTGCATTTAATCTTAAGGCCTCTTAACCTTTGCATTTAATCTTAAGGCCTCTTAACCTTTATAAATAAATAAGGAGCCACATTCTCATGATCCCATTTCATGAATAGTCCATGATTCATTCCCAAATGAAAGCAAAACGATACAGGACTGCTCCATGATTCATTCCCAAATGAAAGCAAATGAAAGCAAAACGATACAGGACTGCTCCATGATTCATTCCCAAATGAAAGCAAAACGATTCAGGACTGCTCCATGATTCATTCCCAAATGAAAGCAAAACGATACAGGATGACAAAAGTGTGGATTCATAGAGCCTGTCCAAAATACAAACGGGAAAGCTTTACATACCATACTCACATATAAAGCATATGTTACCTTGCTCTCAACTGAGTAGAATTGGCTTTTGAGCGTTAGATCTTAATCCGATGGCTCATAATTCTTTATTTTTAATTTTTCTTTTATAACTCATTTTGCAACAAAATTTGGGGGCATGCATATATCTAACAAGAGTGCACATCATAACTATATAAAAAAAATTCTAATGATGGAAAATTACCAAAACATCCTTGAAACTCACAAGGGCTTGTCATTTATTTTCATCCACAAATATATTTTTTATATTTTTGTTAGGTGCATCCTAAATTCCACTCCCAAGTATTTTGTAGAAAAAAATATTAAAACCAAACAGCGTTTTGGCATGATATTGTGATGAGCGTTCTCAGCCATCCATTCAGATTGAACGGCTGAGAAGTGGGGTACTATCCTTTATGTAAGGAGGTCACATACCTTTCCCAACATAAATAGCTAAGAGAGGCTTTACGCTTATTATCCCTCAATATTTGATATAAAGAATAGATGAATTTTTTCTATCAGAATATACATCAAGAACTCCATGTGATTCACTTGCACCCTGCCTTAAGGGCCAAGATTTACCCTTGGCCCTTGACCTAGAAGACAAAAAACAATCATGGGATTACATATTCCTTTAAAAAGCGACGTTGACCCCCAACTAATGAATGAATGCTGGGGCTGACGGACCACCTATGAGATATTTGATCATTCATCCATGAGCTTATTTTCAGAACTCCTTTAATATGCCAAGAGAACCGTATTTTAGGTATTGTACACTTCATCAGAACCACATGTTTTCATAATCAACAGCTATAGATGATATTGACAAAATGTAACTAGTTAGTAACCTAAGAGGTTGTGTGACTATCATAAGTAACCTCCATTTTGGAAAGGAGAAGTGTGCGACAGGGGGTCCCCCGACTCAACCAACATCCATCTCACCATTTCAAATATGGATGTTGAACATATGGTAGTCCCACCACCACCAACAAATTCATCATCCATGCCTTAAAATCACTAAACATTATTTTATTTTTGAATCACGTATTTTTCTTTTTCCTTTTTTACATTACGCTCATCATGGTATAGATTGTCAACCCGTAAAATTTTTGGAATCAAAATGCATCATTAAGATGAATTTTGGAGAGAGGACTCATGTAAATAATTGAGTTGGCCGACTCATAAAAACCTTGTCCTTTAGGAAATGGGTAGATAAAAAGTATAAGATGCCCATTCTGTTTTTTTGTTAGTGAAGGACCATAAAGTTTTTTATAGGGCATTGTGCAATGTAATGGTAGAATTAGGAGACCTTTGGCACTAGACCTAACTCAAGAGCTACATTTCCATCAATTTTAGTTAAAATCGCAACAAGAGAGGTTCATTACTTAATTAAGTATGGCTCACTTAGGCAGCAAATTAGTTTAGAAGAATCAAACCCACTTTACATTAAGTTATGGAAATAGATATGATGACTTTAATGACCTTAATCTATGATCAATAAAAGAAACCCTCAAGCCCAGGAGGGAAATGCCCCTTGTTCAAGTATAAAATATTTCCCTTTTTCTTGGGTAGGTTAGTTGGATTAGAACCTTGGACAAAATGGTAATATATTTATCCCCTTTGACTTTTTAATGCTTAATTATTCAGTCACACCCAATGTACAGAATTCTTAGTATAATTTCTTATTATTTTGCTTTTCACGAGTATAGCTTGGGAAATTTATTGCATCTGCAAACCATCAACCCCCCTATGGTTTAACTATTTGGAAATATTTTAGTAACAAATTTTAATAAGGTTGTTTTTAAATATGGGTATGCTTCAAATATGTAGTTAGTTAGAAATTATAGTAAAAATTTAAACTAAATATTTTATACTTCTAATTTAATTGTTAAATTTAACTATTCAGAAGTGCAATACGAATGATAAAAACTATTTTTTTTCTGAAGAAACTTTTTATGGTAGTAAACCTTGAAAAAAATTAGTATATTTTAATATTCCGTTGTATTTATTAAAGGACTTATATGGTTATTTAGAAGAAAATTAAGTCATAATGGGTTTTTTATTTAAATTTTAAGTGTTTTTTTTTGCTTGAGCTAAGAATTTAAATTTGAAATATCTTTATTAAAATGAGTTTGTTGAGAAGGAATATTTTTTGAGAAAAATCCTTAGTTTTATATTAGATTAAAAACATATTTAAAATACCATACAACAAATTTGTATAATTAATGTATTTAAGCATGGTAGTTTTAGGAACAAACCCTTGTTAAAAACAATTTTTACTCCTAATATAATTTTTAAGAAAACCAAATAATTCAATTTTAGATATATTTATTTAAGTAACAAGCATGTCTGATTTGTAAATGATTTGGCCGTTAGGGAGCATCGTTCAACAAGGTTCTTTTATTTTAAATAACGGTATTAATCAAATACCAATGACAATGGAGTCATTCCATTTTCTTTGGACAGCCTATTTAAGAAGGGGAAATTTGCCTGGTGCGTCAAGGGACAAAATTCTACATTTACATCCCCAATGGCGTTATGCATCCAAAGGATGCATGTGACGCACCCATCTGATTTTCTTCAAAAGAAGTTCACCATCTGCTTCAAAACGACAGCACCATTCTGCACCCATCTGATTTAGACGCACCCATCTGATTTTCTTCAAAAGAAGTTCACCATCTGCTTCAAAACGACAGCACCATTCTAAAAAACCCTGCCTGCTTTCTTTTAAGAGATCCGTGGTCACCCCCGCCCCCGCTCTCTCTCTCTCTCTCTATTTCTTTCTCTGCATCCACCTCTCTCTCTCTCCCTCTGCATTTCTGTGTCCCACGCCGCTTCTCTCTCTCCTGGCTCCAAAGGAAATGGTCACCCCCCCTCTCGTCTTCTCTCTCTAAAAGTCTCAATATGGTGCAAAGGATGGTACGGTGCATATTCGTATAATTAATATAGTGTATAGTATGGTGTATAGTTTATTAATGGTGTGCGGTTAATATGGTGCATAGTTAGAATAGTTAGTTTAAAGACTATAGTGTTAGCATAATTAGCATAAATATGGTGCTTTTTTAAAAAATTTATCTATTTTTTTCATTCCGATTTTTTAGCCCAGTCCGCTATATTTATGACATTTTTATATAAAGTAAATTTGCCGATCTGTATTTTTTACCTGATTTGTTCATTTGACTTTTTAATATAAAAAAAATTTATTTCTGATTTTATGGTGAGCCAATATATTGATATTTTCCTATTGGCTAACTATGATACAGAGAGGGCACATGCGTATGAGTTGGCCAACTCATAAAATAACCATGTCCTTTAAGAAGAGAATGGGACAACAAGAGAGATTCTCTAAAGGATATTGGGTTTAGAAAGCAGGTCCAAGAGATTGAGAGAAGGCAAATTGTTTTTTAGGAGGGGACCGCATTTCTACATTTTGTGATCGCTGAGGTATAAAGCAAGTGGTCCATCTAAAAACAATTGAAACTAAAGTCCAAATGTTTTTTTAATAGAATTATTATTTTTAATTTTTAAATTTTTTATATTTTAATATTCATGATCTCCATGTTAGAGATTACGTCCTTAAAAATTAGGTCAAAAAATTCATCTCAAAAATGGGTGCAGTT